GCATTGAAGAGGAGACAATGAAATATTAGGGACAAAACTGTTTTCCGTATGCAACCCAAAGGTACTGAATGACTCTGGGTTACTCTTACTATAAAACCAAATTCCCTTTTTAGTGCTGCAAAAAAACAACTTTCAGGAATTTGTTGCTATTGACACAAGAGAGCTTCTATCCTGCCCTTGGGACTCACATAGAATATGTAGCTACTGGCAGCTCCAAGAGTGGAAAGAGCCATAATCCTTCAGCTATGTAGAGGGTAGTCATGGCCACCACATGATCCCCCATACAGATCAGGCTGACTCAGTTCTGGATTCTTGAGTCTTTTTCCTGTAGTCTCAGACCTCACAAAGTCCTCCTTTCAAAGCTCTGTCCCTGCTCACCCAGCTCAATCCTACCCCATGCAACTTTATAGTATCACTGTATGTGATACAGTGAAATGTTTCTATGTGGGACACTGATGTAGCTCAGTTGTGGGGTGTAATTTTACTACAAATTTGTGTCTATCATATTGTGTATGTATATTGGGGTGGGAAAAATTCAACTTATGGGCTGAGTTCGGCTTGCCAAATTGCTGGATCAGCTCGCCACCATCCCATAGCTCAGCAGGAGCCTCAGGCAGCTTCCCTGCCTGCCAGGCCCCCACACTCCACTCAAAGCGGCCAGCTGAAGGGGGCCATGTGCACCTCTGCATGTCACGCACTCAGGGGGAGAGCTTTGCATGCTTCCCTTGCCCCCAGCACAATCTCTCCTCTCCCACTGACTGGAAAACAACCAATGGGAGCTGCCTGGGCATGGGTAACGGGTATAATAGCTGGGGCAGGAAATGCCTTCCCAAATGGCCAGGCGTGGCCCTGCCCACACTGCACCCCCAGAACACCTACTGTTTCTTGTACTGAAGCAGTAGGAATTCTGGGGGAGGAATGTTGATGCCCCCAAGCTTCAGCCTGTGCTCCGAAGCGGGGATTGCTTAAGCCACGCACCACCTGCCCTCCCTGTGATGCTTTGGGGCCAGAGAGGCTTGGGCCCTCCCTCCCTGTGGTGCTCCAACACCAGGGCAGCTCAGGCTGCACCACCACCTGCTCTCTCCATGCTCCAGGACTAGGGAGGGTCAGGCTGTGCACCGCTTGTCTTCCCCATGGTGCTCGGAAGCTGGGGAGGCTCTCGTGGGACATGGGGGCTGAAGGTTTGCCCCTGTGGTGGGGGGAGCTTGGCTCCCATGTGGGGCCTCACGTGGAAAGGGTGAGGTTGGGAGCTTACCTCCCTCAGCCCTACGTTCACCTTCTGCCCATAGCCTGGCCTGTGCTTGCAGTACATAGGGTTGCCAGATGGCTTCAAAAAATACCGGACACACTTGTTCTCAGATGGGGGGGACCAGCCGGGAGGGGAGGGGGGCTGGCTGGGGGAAATGGGCGGGGGGGAGAACTG